AATTTGTATCAAGATTCTAAAGAATTCTTTTCAAGATTTTAAAGATAGAAATAAAATTATATTTAGCTTTCTATCTTCAAATTGATAAACAAATAAAATATATAAATCAAGTTTTGAAGTAATTTTTGAAGTATACCATCAACTATTAATAAGAAAATTAGATAACTCTTCTACCATAGTCAGAGTTTATTTGTAATAATATTATACATTTTTCTATTCAATAAATACCATTCTTTGCTAATTATATTTATTATCCATGATTTGATGCTCTTAATTTCTCAAAAGTTGATAATCATGCAACAAAAGAATCAAAAAATTGTTTATTTAAGCTACATACAATAGTAAAGGAACAATTAAAAAAAGCTCAAGAATAATATAAAAAATTCCATGTTGGCAATTTAGTATAAACATCTGTAATTTTCTTAACAATTATAAAATCTTCTCAATCATCTGCTCAAATTTTATTACAATCATTGTAAAATTTTCCAAATTCCAAAGAAAACATAAAGTGTTTCTTTTACAACTTATAGCATAATCTAATTGCTTCCTTACAAAAATAAACTAATACATTGAAAACTATAAAAAATAGATAAAATATATTTATTATTTAAGTATATATTTACATTGAATATATGCTTCAAAAAACAAACACAAAAATAAGACTATCAATCAAAATAAACTTATCTTAGGAATATTGCTTTAGTTTATGTATTAAAGGCAATAAATTCATCCTAAAAATAATTGCCTCAACAAATTGGTTTGATTTGAAGCCAATTTTGATAACTTCTTCCTGACAATCACTATTATAAATATATTTTATAATTAAGTAATCCATAATATATTATCATTGATATATTTAAGTGTATTTTAGGACTAAGTACTTAAATCCTTTGAATACTATTGAAGGTTTATTAAATAATTGATAGAATAGAAAAACAAAACAAAAAAACAAAACAAAACAAAAAACAAAAAACAAATGAAATAAAATGATAAAAACCAAAAAAACCAACAAATTTTTTAAACTTTGTATTTGATTAAATAAATTATTTATGCTTAAACTCAAACCTATATTCCATTTCTACAAAAAAATTAAGTATATTTCATTCAACATTGTTCAAAATAAAATATAATTTTAATATATCTCTCAAGTATCCTGAAATTTCTAAAATCTTCAATTTTTTTGATAATTTTAAAAATACACCTAGCAGAGTATATAAACAAATATCAGCAACAATGATTCTAATATAGTATACAATGTTAATTTGTCTGGTTTTGTTTTTTGTATTTTTCCTGCATTCCAATTCTTTTAGCTTTGAGAGGAAATGGTATAACTCTAAACTTTTCCAAGCTAGTACACTCCCTTCTCAAGCTCGATGATCATAGCAACAAGTCCATTCATGTAGCAACCACCATTGCTGCAAACAACTTTACACAACATAGTCAAGGAAGTACATGCATTGAAATTGCAATGACAAATTCTTTGTTACTTACAAGATCATGGATGCTCAAACCTTAAGCAAATAACCAACAATACAAAGAGTGTTATAGCATAATGCAAGCATTTAAGAGCACATCACTAAGACTTGAAACCTCATCCCTAATTTCTAATGACTCCTAAAATAGAGGCAAGATTTTGTCAAATCAAAGAAAGGAGGATCCTTGATCAACCCCACTTTAAAACAATTGGAACTTGCACTAAGCATAAGTGTAATACAATCCCTCAACCTCACAACACAAATACACCTAACAATGTAAGTAATATTAGTAGGCATCAATTCATGAATAAATCACCACAACTACTAACAAAGAAGTCTACTTAGCACTTATCTACATCAATATTAGATGCATTGCATGAAGTACTCATTTATGTATGTTGCAGAAGATAATTTTGGAATTTACAAACATGAAAAGAGATTGTTGATATTTCAAGGTACTGTAGAAACCTATTTTTGAAAAGTCCTTCAAAATAGTCTATTAGAATAAGAATTCAAAATATTAATTTGGAGCTTTTTGAAATTTCAATAACTAAAGTATTTTATTTTTAAACACGCAAAACATTACAAACAAGACTAATACAGCATTTTATAACTAATTTACAAGTATTCTGTAAAGCATAGATAAATATTGATTAAGCAAAAAGTTTAATAAATTTCACACTTCAAAAAAAAAACAATAAAAATCACACAAACGAGATATTATCAATCTTCTAATTTATCCTATCCTTAAGGTAATATAAAAAGTATAAGTATTGTATCTAACCTTACAAGTTCTGTAAACTACAAATCATACAAATAGCACACTCATAATATTGGTACTCCAATCTAAATTACCATAAAATTTATAGCAAAAACATCACGCAAATAGATGTGCAATATATCCAAATTCATTTGATTCAAACATACAAAAACATATACCCCAAATCGTAGAACAAATCAAATATAACTTAATCAAAACCAAATAAAACAAAACACACTATTGCTGTATTTTGTGCACGGTACAGCCACGAATCATTACCAAACCCCACCTGCACCAAATGCCATATCAGAACACACCTCATTCTCTCATTGGGAAACCCAGACCCAAAACACGCACTCAATGAAATTCCTTCTACAATTCTTCACTACTTCTAAATCTTTACATTTCTCCTGTCGAGAACATTGCAAACTATATCCTGTGTTTGATCAACACCTCCCCTCATTAACCATATCAACGACCATCTACTTCCCAACGACAACTCTAATACACCATCTCACGTGACACATTCTTGACAATACATGTTGACTTCCACTTTCATCTCCCACTCGCCACACCCATTTCTTATCCTTCACCACCCCACACCAATACCCACTTCACCTGAAAATCCTCGTCACTACCAATCACAACAACCTTCGTCACAATCACCATATCCAACCTGTGCGTGTCATATTGGGTCATACACTGCTGCGCTATCCCCCAACGGATCTTCTATCCCACCATCGCTGCATCGACACAACCACGTCGCTTTCAACGTCCCCTACGAATCCGAACATCCGTGACAATGCTCCAAGTCATACCTCCATGCACATCATCACGATCTGCACTGCAGTAGCTTTCCACTGCACACTCAATTACTGACTCTCTCCATCTGACCTTCCCTTCCCACACCAAACGGCTTCCACGCAACACCTACAACACGTGATCTCCGCACCGTGGGTGCATTCGTCGCAAGCCCTTCAGTACGTACCCGACGCACCCAACCTCTCTGCATTCCACCATGCACCCACGCCTGCCCAAATCTTCATGTCTCCGGATCCACAGTCCTCACTAACACCACGTGACGCTCACAAACGTACCCCTCCGATTCCTGCACTGCTTCAACCGGAACTCACCCGTCCCCCATCCCGCCACCACGCTCTCCCGCCCCACGCCTCTCGCCTGCTACACTCCACGGCCGCCCACCACCAGCCTCCACCAACACTCTCGCACCCGACTCCCCTTTCACACGTTCAAAACACCCCGTTACTACGACCTGCTACACTTCACACTTGCAAATACATCTGAAAAGTCTACGCCCACACCTTCGCCTCGTGCCATCGGCAGTCCCCAAAATGTTTCCCACGCTCACAACTGCGACGTAACCTAATTCGCACCCGCTCAAATCATCCAATTCCTCGACCTGCACCCGGGTCCCTTCAAAGGCCAAACTCCATCCTTGGCACCGCCGCTGCAGCCCCTCCTTATCCACCAAGTCGTCCGCCACTGCTGCCTTCCCGCTCCAGTATGACTCTCGAACCCGCTCATGCAGGGCGCCTCCAACCGCCCTTTCTCGCCGGTCGCAGCTTCTCCCACCAACTTCACGTAAGAACATATCTGCTCATCATCCGAAACCCAGCAACACGTACCCATGTCACCCTCACTCCTCCCAGATGCTGGGCCATGAAACTCTACCCCCATCCGGACCACCTCTACCACGTCCACATGTCTCAGCCCCCTCGCACCACTCCGTGCGCATGCTTGCCATGTCCTTGTCGCCCTGCGCCGCTTACCCCACCCACCCTTCCCACCATCCGCCGTTTGCAATCCTCCGCCCACGTCCCAGGGTCCCGATCGCCATACCCCACCCGACCCTCCCGCCAATCCGACGATACCTCCCACCCATCGCCACAGCTGAATGCAAACCTTCCTGCTCCTCACCCTCCTTCTTCACACGCATATTCCACCTTCTCATCCCCGCCCCACCACAGCGGCCCCCTCTTCTCTGCGCAAACATAACCACACTCGTACTACGCCCAACCCGTATTCTCCCACTTCCCCTCCTCTTCTTCCTCGCAACTCCCGCGACGCTCCCTCCGATTCCCGCACCCCCTAACACCCAGCTCCCACCCTTCCGACCAATCAACCAACGCAAGCCAATCGACAATTCCCGCTCCGGCACTCTCTCGCTGATGCTGGATGCGCACAAGCGCTCCTCGTCTCTGGGCGCGCTGCGTCGGTCCTCTACTTACCATCTCGCACAAGTGGATTTGCAACCTCTCCAAATGCGCCCAACCCATCCATTCAATGCAACTGGACGCCCCAACCGACGCCCGTGCACCCTTCTTCCTAATGCTTCCTCCACACGGATCGCCACCGGCACATCCAACTCCACAGACCGATGCTCCCCCGGGTCTCACCACAAAAAGACGAGCCCTGAATAAACATGTCTACTAGCGTGAAGCCCCACACATACACACGGCACAACAACCCCTGTTAGCTTCATACACCAATCATTCGGCGCCCACAGCATCTCCCGAGTTATACTCGCACACACGAACCACGCACCACTGCAGTCCCCCAACCCCCCGCCTCCACCGCACACGCCTCGCTGCCAAAACAAACCAAATCGCAGCCACCAACCAAGCTCACACCGCCATGTACGAGTCCACATCGGCCCCCTCTCACCACAAACACAACCCCAAACACCACTTCCACTTCACCTCTGCAATGCAAGCATCCCACAACCATATTCACGCCTTTGCAAATTGTCCCAAACGTCTCCACAAATTGGAGCTCAAAGCCCTGTGTGATTAAAAGACAGGCCCCACGGCTCCCGAATTCGGCTGCGCGTGTGTGAAATCTACACAACCGGCGTTGTCATCCAAACAACGCCACAACGTCGCAACCTCCAGCTCCGTTGCAGCAGCTACGCTGACGTCCACAAACCGACGCCACTACAATCACCTAACTCCTAAACCCGAATCCTACAGACCTAAACCCTCCGCCAATTCCCCCATCACCTGGCTGTCGTGTTCAAAATGGAGGTCAACACTCCCAGCACCATGAACGCCAGCATGGGGCTCAGGTCCAGAGCGTTGAAAAGCGGAGGGATGATGTTCCTGAACAGATTCAAATACGGGTCGCACATGTCCCGAACTGCTTGAAGCGGTTGCCTCTCCCACGGGATGTTGGGAAACCAACTCAGAAGCACGCGCACCATCAACACTCCGCTGTAAAGCTCCAGCCACTTCGCCATGCCGCTGGCAACCACCGTCAGAGGCGTGCTCACGGACCCCGGAGCTTGGCTAATTGACGCAAACAACAACGGCCCCGCAGCCAACACCAACCGCCCCTTCAGAGCCTTCACCAGCTCCCTCTCCGCATTCGTGGAGCCGTCCGGCAGCGGGGTCGCCGTCAAGGCGTCGCCCAACGCCTTCGCGACTCGCACCACCAATGACACAACCACAACCGCCCTCGATACCACTGCGCTTGCAACCCCCGCGGCTCCATTGCCACCGCTCCAACCTGCCACGCACGCTACGGGAGACCCAGTCGCCCTGGCCGCATCCACTCTCCCGGCGCTCAAACGAGGCACGCTCACATCGCCCGATTGCGAAACTGTCCAACTCAACCTCCCAGCTCTCTCCCCCAGAGACCCCGCACCCCTACTTCTGAGCACGCACACAACCCCGTACGCCAACTGCGGAACCCTCTGGCCTGCGCCGCAGATGGCTGCCTGCGAAGCACGTCGCGTGCGCAGTTCCGCAGAGGAAGTGGCGCCCGTGACGAGGGAGGCCATAGCTGAGGCCATCGCAATCACAATCAAATCGACAATCACCGGAACGCTGGCGCAGACTGCCCAGAATTCAAGAGGGCGGGTTTCAGGGGGTATGCGGGGGCTTAGCACTCCGATTTGGGGGGGGGGGGGGGGGGTTCACTTCTGGAACCTTCAGGCTGGGCTGGGCTTGGGTGGTGTTCGGATTTCGTGGATTTCGGTTCGGGCCAAAACAGCGTTGGGGATGTGGCATGGCGCATGGCATGTACTCCTCCTGCTCTGTGAGCAGCAGCAGCAGGCGGGGGAGGCGAGGTAAGGAGGGTGTCGAGCCAGACGCACTTGCCACGTGGATGAATGAATGAATGATCTCTTATCTTCCTTTGCTTTCTTCTATTCCAATCTCATCTTCTTCTCACTCGGGGCACAGCCCACCCCTTCGCATCTTTTTCCTGCTCCATTCTCACCACATGTATGGGACCCCCAGGCTCTGACAATGCCCCCTTCTCTCACATACCGCATTTGGTTGCCTCGTCCCAGTCGTAGCAACCATATGTGCATATTAAATGGCTTGCTTGTCTATATCTCTAAACATACAAAATAAACACACTTACATATTGCATTCATTTCACCTTGTGAATGTCATTCTTCTTTATGTTTTATTCTACAAATTTATTTGTCCACACATTATTATTTAGTATAATTTTTTTATAAAAATGATATAAGATTTAGTCTTTGATGTAGAATTTGTTGAAATTCTCCATTTAAGACTACAATATTTCCATCATATTACCTAGTGGCGCCATTTATGTCTAATAGAGTTTTATTGATTGCCTTTGGACAATGGCAATGTTAGATTGGACCCTCATTCTATGTGATGAGAAGTGTATTTTTTGACACATTTGTTTTTGTATGTTTCTTATTATTATTATGTAAATAAAACTATTCATTTAGATTGAGAGGAGATTTTAATATGAAATGTGTAATTTATTTACCACTTATAAATTGTACTGCAATATTGAAGGAAAGAACACAAAAATAAATAAATAAATAAAATAGTACTTTAAAATTTTATTACCACAATAATATAAACAAATATTATTCTATTTCTTGTTGGTCTTTGTAATAAAGATAGCTTTTTAAGATTGTTATCTACCTCAAGCATGTTCATCTTAATATACGATGCAATATCATCATTGCATTTTGGCACATATTTTTCTACTATGTGTTTTAGCTCGTCTTTATTCCACAACAAATGCTTTATAAGCATTGAATATGTAGCATTCTTGTTTGTATTCATTTCCTAGTACAACTTTAATGGAAAATCACCAATTATTTTCTTTGGTTCTTAAAGAATTTCATCATGAATTTAAAGTCTTTAATGTAATATATCTCTTTGTATTTGCCTTTGAATTCCATGATTTTGATACATTCAATATTTTACAGCCAACTGCTAATTCATTGTTTTTGGCTTGTTTTAAAAGTGAATAGATTTTCTAGTTTGATTGTTATCTTTTGAAGGTTACATATGATATATTATTAAACAAATTGTTTAATTTTCTTATATGTATTTTTTCTTATATAACTATCGAATTAGCGTTCTTTGTAAAAAAATTTATTTGGCACTAGAGATTGCAAGTTATCCTCTTCTTATATTATTTGTAGATTTTTTATGTTGTTTGAAATTATAAGAAAAATTATGGATGCTTTATTTGATATAAGTAAAAAAATATTTGTTTCTATTTTAGATCTTCATAAACTTAGCAATATTCTTAGAGTGGAATCTCCATGCTTTATCATGACCAACCACTAAAACATTAATCTTACGCCTATGGAAGAAGTTCAAAGTCTATATCTAGAAGTTGTAGATTTGAAAGAAGCAATTAGATCAACCTCACAACCAAATCTAAAAAGTTTTGTTTCTACTAGTACAATGTTGATAGGGATTAGTATGCTTGAAAAGTTTAATAGAACAAGATCAAAATTTTGAGGATTTTTGCAACAAGTCTAGCTCTATTTAGAATTCCATTTACTCTAATACTTGCATGGATTTATTTAAGTTGGATTTGTAGGCACACTTCTATATAGAAGTACTTTCTTTTGATTTGCACCTTTGATAGAAAAGGATTCATAACTCTTTTAAGAATTAGATTCATTCCTGTAAGAATTTATGGTTATATTTAGAAAAAGAATAGAAATTTAAAAAATAACAAAGATCAAATTCTTAGCTTTATGATAAGAATCATGTTTAGCTATCATATATATTTCTCAATTCTAAAACCTCGCTTGCAATATGGACTAAAATAACAAAGCTTTATTCAATCAATTTTGATATGGATTGGAGGATAGCATCAAAGATTTATTATTGACAATTCCAAAAGTAAAATCTTTTAAATGATTTATTACTCAAGCCATTGCATGCAACAATTGATTATTTAAAAGGCATTAAGAATAAAGACTTGCTTGAAGAGGAATAAGTGAAGTAATGACTATAGCTCATAAGTTTTCAAAAACTTATTGATCAAGGCCAAAATCAATACAAATTGCTACAAGATGTTTTAAATTCCTCATGGAATAAGAAAAGATTTAACATTTTCAAGAAGGTTTATACTTATATAATAAAGAAGCTAAATACAATGCTTAATATTATCTAAAGAAGCAAATCAATTACAAAATGAGGACCATGATTGCCAAAAAAGATAATGAATTAGAAAACAAGTTTTTTCAACTTCAATAGGAACTATGCGGGTAGAATCTAGTGCAATACCTAGTAAAGATTCTATTCTCTCTTAAAATCCCTCATTACATTTTATAATAGATGTGTGTTTAAGACCTAAAAATCATAAAGTCTTTACATTATTAAATTCAAGAACCTCAGCCTATTTTATAGAAAAAGATTGCCAAAAAATAAGAAATATCTTTAGTCAACAAAACTAAATCTATACATATAAAAGTCATAGATGGTCATTTGTTGTCTTTTGGAAATGTTATCGATAAGATTGTTCCTTAAGATGTAGCAATTAAAGATCATAATAGCACAATAATATTTATTTTGATAAGATCTACTTCTATCCAATTATTTTAAGATTATCATGATTAAAAAAATACAACCTTCAAATAAATTAGATTTTTCATAAACTTAATTTTTTTGGTAACTTAATCTAAAATTCCATTGGTCAAGTAAAATTATATAAGTTTAATACATCAAAATCCTTATTGATAGGTGTAAGAGTTTTTGTGCATGATACAAAAAAAATATCATCTTTTATTATATATATCATATCTATTTTTAATAATAGAAAGATATCAAATAATATTCCTAACTAGTATCAAGATTTCCAAGTCGTTTTTTTTTAAAAATAGAGATATTCATTTAAAATATTGACCTTATAATTATTCAATTAATCTATAAGATAGAGCTCAATTATTATTCACACCAATCTATAGCTTATTGCATAATGAATTGGCTGCACTAAAAAAGTATGTTCATGAAAAATTTACTAAAAACTTCATAATCTATTTAAAATGTTCAATAAGAGCTCCTATCTTATTTGTGAAGTTAAAAGATGGATTTCTACAAATGTACATAGACTATCAAGGACTTAATAAGATCACCATTAAAAATAGGTATCCCATACTTTTAATTTTATGACTTCTTGATCAACTCAATCAAGCAAAGGTCTTTATAAAAATAGATCTATAAAGAGCATATAATCTGATCTGCATCAAAAAAAAATAAAAAAATAGAAAATAGAAGAGTGATTTTTGAATTAGGCATAGACATTTCAAATATTATATCATACATTTTGGACTCACAAATGCATAAACCACTTTTTAACATCTTATAAATGATATTTATCATGCATTTCTTGATGATTTCGTTGTCTATTATTTGGACAATATTCTAATCTTCTGTAAAAATACACAAAGACATGAATTTCATATTTGTTATGTATTATAAAAACTTAGAAATATAGGAATATATTCCAAGATGAAAAAGTGTGTAATTTATATTACATAAGTTGACTTCTTAAGGTACATCATTTCTAACAAAGGTCTAATAATGGATTCAAATAAGGTCCAAACTATTATAGATTCAAAGATTCTAAAAATAATAAGATATATAATATTTTTTGAGATCTGTTATTTATTATAGGATTTCTATTAAGAACTTTTTTAAAGTTGTGGTTCATCTTATATGTTTGACATATAAAGATAAACTTGAGTAGAACAAAGAAATAAAAGCATCTTTTGAGGCTTTAAAGATAGCATTTATTTCAACACCAATTTTATATTGCATCAATTTTTTTAAGGCATTTTTAAAAGAAATAAATATATTAGATTTTGTTATAGGTATCATTTTGTCACAAATAGGAGCAAATCATAATCTCCATCCAATAGTGTTTTATTCCAAGTAATTTTCAACAGCCAAGATTATTTATGAAATCTATAAAAAAAAAAAAAAAAAAAAAAAAAAAAAAAAAATCCTATAATTATTGATTCATTTTAGGAATGGCATCATTATCTAGAAGGCACTTCTAATCCAATCATTGTATATATGGATCACAAGAATGTCAAGTACTTTATGTCTATAGGCGTTTTGAATCATCGCCAAGTCCATTGAAGCATGTCTTTCTGAAGATTTGGTTTTAAGATTACTAATAGACTTGAAAAACAACAAAGTTTGTCAAATGTCCTTTTTAAACATTCTTATCTTACATCAAAAGAAGGACATGTAAGTTTTGATCAACAAAGAACAATTAACTTCAAGCTAGAGCATTTTCATCTTTGAACATTAAAATCAACATTGACTATTGATTCAACCTTTGTCAAACAAATTCAATCAAGTATGTCATGTGATCTTCTTGTATGTGATATCAAGAATATTTCTTTTAGGTCACATGATACTTCCAAGTTTAAGTTTAAGAATAATCCACTCTATTTCAAAAAGGGATGATTATATATTCCAAAAAATAAAGGATAATTATGTATTTTTCAAGCTTGTCATGACTTTCCAACAACCAGATATTTTAAATACAATAAGACTTTAGAGCTAATATCTAGAGATTTTTGGTGGCTTCAAATGTGAAAATAAATTAATTTTTTTTACAATTATGTGATATTTGCTCAAAATCAAAAACTCCTCATCATC